ACAAAGCTATAGCGTGGCTACGGCCACTATTTCACATCATTGGCTTGATTTTAGACTAACATCATATGCTTCGTACAGGTATTCTAAGCAGAGCCGTCTCAAACTTTTGAGCGGCCCTGTGTAAGAACTTAAAGTTAGCTTTTGTTGAGTTGTGAAATTTTCTTAAGGGGCCCTATTAGCGTAAATTAAGGGTAGAATGTGAATGGAGATCCTTTTTGCCATAGCCTAATCATGAAAAGTGTGAGGCCTTGTGTTGTAGGCTGCCTTGCACACCCTCAAAGACGCCCTGATTCTAAGAAAGAAAATTAGGGGTGCTATAATGAATTATGATTGTACATTTTAGTATTAGTTGTATTCATTTATGATTTAACATCATAGGCACATGATATCGTTTTCGGTTAGTATATAGTGAGTGTGCAGCCATTGGTTGGAAAGCAAGCTTTGCATTGCAAGTAATGTGGTTTCTATCTTGCTCAGAATGTTTTAGCTTGACACAGATTTGTGTAAGTCAGACTTCAAATTATGAGTAATCTTGTATACATAAGCTTGAATAATAGAAAGGCACTGCAACCACTCTGGAGTGGAGATGTAGAAAATATCGACCGAACTTCGTGATCGAATGTTGTGTGTTCTCAGTTTTGTTTCTTTCGTTTTCTTTTAAACCAAGGTTGTTGCCCTAACAAAAGTTCATCCTGTTACACATCCCAAACTAAAATTTATCTTTTACACCTGCAGACACCAACCTACCACATTTCAGATTCAGTGGTCATGTAAGTATTGCAGTCCCACCAACAATATCATCTTCTTATGTTTCTTCAAGTATTGCACAGCCACCTGCCAAGTCATCGTCGAGCGTTCCTGCTAGTATTGCATTTCCACCTTCCAAGTCAACTGCCCGAGCTTCTACAAAGAAACCGAAACATGATTCTTTGGATTCTCCAATATCACATCATAAGCATCACTATACTGGAAAAAAGAACCGCAATCCAACTCTAGGATCGACCTCCACAATCCAAGCGCCTACTTACAGCAATCAAGGTTTGATTCTCTGACCGATAATGCTTAAATAAAGTTATTACACAGCTTTTACACTGAAATCTCAATAATTTCATTTATTCTCAAAAATTGCCTTGAATGCATAGGTCCTTCATTCCTCAAACCACAACCTCCTTTCTCTTCACCAAAGAGCAAGTTTATCCATGCACCTGTGCCCGCACCTGCACCATCACCGACATTTCGGTCAGGCCACCTAAATGGTATAAATCCTTACTTATTCATATCACTGCTTTAAATGTGTTGTTTCATTTCACTTGCCTTTTCTTTTAAATATCATCTGATTATTTGTTAATCTTTGGTCATCATTCATCAGTTCCGTCTCTTCCACCTAGAATTTCACCTATAGGTTCATCATTGAACAAGATTAAGACTCCACCGCCAGCATATGCATTGGTTCTTCCCCCTCCACCTCCTAATAAAGGTATTCTAAACTTAATCCTGTATCTATATTAGGCGTGTTCATTTTTTTACAATCATTTCAATAAACCTATTGGATGTTGATCCTCCTGCAGATTGTTTATCCGTTACTTGCTCAGAGCCGTTGACATACACACCTCCTGGATCACCTTGTGGATGTGTATGGCCACTTCAAGTTAAAATCCGTGTCAGCATTGCAACATACAAGTGTTTTCCTCTGGTTTCAAAGCTAGCTAATGAAATTGCAGCGAGTGCTATGCTGAACCATACGCAAGTTCGTATCGTGGGAGCTGATGCAACTAATCAGCAACTAGAGAAAACCGATATTATCATTAACCTGGTACCAAAAGGAGTAAAATTTGATGATACCGTCGCATTATTAATATACAAGAAATTCTGGCACAGGGAGATTCTAATAGATGATTCCCTCTTCGGTGCTTATGAAGTACTCTATGTTCATTATCCAGGTTATACATTGATTACAATTTTGTTAGAATTTGTTATAGTGAATTTATATAGTGTGCTTGGTTTCATTAGTTGTCATCTCTCTAGTTTCATACTTTTGGATAATGCATGCGTGCAGGTCTTCCACCATCTCCACCTTCAATTCCCTCGGGTGTTTCTAGTATAGATGATGGGCCGAATCGTGGTCGTGACAACAATGGAATGATGATGAAACCTTTAGGAGTAGCTATACCAAAGAAAAAGGAAGAAGGGAGCGACGGAAGAATGGTTTTTATAACTGCGTTGTCATCAGTTACCGCTTTTGTACTATTCCTTGGACTTGCTTGGCTTTGTCTGTTGAAATACAGTTCTTGTATTCATCAACAGGAAAAAGCTTCAGATAGCTTAATGTCATCCTCTTCAAAACATTTAAGTAAGTCAGATTACTGACTCAGCAAAAGCTTTACTGATAGTTTAGATAACGATACAAAATAAAGATATTGTTTTCTTTAATCATCATAAAATGGGAATCAAAGGATGTTATTTTATAGAATTTTGTTTGAATGTTGTAGGGGCTGCCGGGCCATTAAATCATGGGATCGTGTCGGGATCTGGATCACGTTCCTTCGGTTCGGGAACAATAGCATTTACAAGATCTGCCAAGAATTTTTCCTTGAATGACTTAGAGAAAGCAACAAATAACTTTGACTCTTCTAGAATATTAGGAGAAGGTGGCTTTGGACTTGTTTACAAAGGTATTCTGAATGATGGGAGGGACGTAGCAGTGAAGATTCTCAAAAGAGATGATCAACGTGGTGGCCGTGAGTTCTTGGCAGAAGTTGAGATGCTTGGCCGCCTACACCATAGAAATTTAGTTAAACTGATAGGTATATGCATAGAGAAAAAGACTCGTTGCCTAGTGTATGAACTTGTCCCTAATGGAAGTGTGGAATCCCACTTGCATGGTAAGAAAAAAACACACTTCAAGAATTTCACCAATATTTATGTAAGTCAATGGTCAATAATCTCAATTTTACCAGGTGCTGACAAGGAAAGTGATCCATTGGATTGGAGTGCCCGGATGAAAATTGCTCTTGGTGCAGCTCGAGGATTGGCTTATCTGCATGAAGATTCCAATCCGTATGTCATACACCGGGACTTCAAGTCCAGTAACATTTTATTGGAACATGATTTTACACCCAAGGTTTCAGATTTTGGATTGGCTAGAACAGCACTGGAAGAGGGAAACAAGCACATCTCCACACATGTCATGGGTACATTCGGGTAATAATCCATTGATTGCACTTTCCTTTCATGTATTGTTGATAATTTGATCAAACATCATGTGTTTTGTGCTTGCATTTTTTATGTGTTTACTTTTGAACTAGGGTTTCTGCTCTAGATAAAAGCATATGAATGGTTTTATTAGAGTTCTTAACAACAATTCCTCAGATTGAAAACTGAATCGATCTCATTGATATCTTGTTTTTGCAGCTACTTAGCTCCTGAATACGCAATGACAGGCCATCTTCTCGTCAAAAGTGATGTTTACAGTTACGGAGTTGTACTCCTTGAGCTCCTAACCGGTAGAAAGCCTGTGGATTTGTCCCAACCACCAGGTCAAGAAAATCTCGTGACTTGGGTCCGTCCACTTCTCACAAGTAACGAAGGTTTGCAAACAATCATAGACCCAGATGTAAAGCCAAATGTATCTCTCGATACAGTGGTAAAAGTTGCAGCAATAGCATCCATGTGCGTGCAACCAGAAGTATCTCAACGGCCTTTCATGGGGGAAGTTGTTCAAGCCTTGCAGCTTGTATGCAGTGAGTTTGAGGAAACAAATTATATAAAATCAAGTAACTTTCACGAAGGAGATCTTGTAGTAACTAATACGGAAGGGAAGTTTTTGGAGATTTCAGATGAGAGAGTGGAGTTTTCGGAGTGTCAAAAATCAATTTATGGCTATCAATCCGGTGAAGAAAATGTAAGATTATCAGCTTCTGAGCTGCTCAGTACTTCAGGCCGGGAAGTTGAGTCATTCAGGAGGAAATCAACTTCGGGGCCTATTACCACTGAGAAGAAAAGACATTTCTGGCAAAATTTGAGAGGTTTGTCTAAAGGTAGCACAAGTGATCATGGATTTTCAACTAAACTATGGCCTGGATCCCATTAATCTTTCACCACTTCCCGTAAAACAAATTATGATGTTGATCTTTCTTCTTATTATAAAAAATGTTTTTTTTCTTTCATTCTCAGCACCAAAATCAGCCATGTTGTTGTCACAAACTTATGGAGCAAAATGAATAAACTCGTGTCCTTGTACAAGCTATTTTATGTTACCATTGAATTATAGAAACTTGAGGCGTATCATGCATTTTCTCAGTTACTGAAGATAGTCACCATCATGCAGTTTATTAATGCCAAGCCATTACAAAAGAACAACTATGGTGATTCTGTGCAGAGCCGTCTCAAACTTTTGAGAGGCCTTGTGTAAGAAGCTGAAGTTAGTTTTAGTTGAGTCGTGACTCGTAAGATATTTTTAAAGGACTCTATTTAATCGTAAATTAACCGTGAAATATATGTATGAAGACTCTTTTTGCCATAGATTAATCATGAAAAAGTGTGAGGCCTTATGTTGTAGGCTATCTTGCACACTCTCAAAGACGACACTGATTTTGTATAGTTATATACTCTTGTATCTTTAATTGGATGCTACCATTTTGCTTCCTTTTCAATTTTATTTTTTTCAGTAGCCTTCATGTTTTTATGCCTTTTTTATAAACAAAAATATTCATTTTACCAACCAAAAATAATTATTATTTTTCCCTTGAAATAGAAAGCTAAAATACTTCACCAGAGTAACTTATTCCTCCTCAAAACCAAGACTTTCTTGATTACTAGTAATGATTTTTTTCTAGAAATTACACAAATAAGCTACATCCATTTCCAATCCTACAGCCAATTGTTTTTTTGTTTTATTTTTTGTTTTTGATGTGCAACAGTTTCTCTTATCTTCATATTACACACATTTGTTTGTTTCTATAAGACTTGAAGTGATCTTCACACAGCACATTATTTCTTCCTTATATACCAGTCAATTTCCCCAACCTATCTCTCAAAATCTTCACTCCCATGTACCTGTCACAAACATAAACAGAATATATTTAACACTATTTAACAATATCACACGTTTATCAGTGTCAAGAATATGATTCATGTATGCGCATACGTAGTACGTACCTTCCCATCATCATTACAGTGGCTTGAGGATTTGTTCCCGGTGATTCAGTAAACGTCGAACCATCGACAACTCGGAGTCTATCAACATCAAGAACCTTATAATCAGGACTAACTACCTTCCCCACATGACATCCACCATGATAATGCCAAATCGTGATTATAGTGTCTTTGCAGAACTGCTCTAGGGATGTTGTGTCATTGGCATTTTTCGGTATGAAGTTGACATTAGCCTTCACACTAAGATTAAGAAGTTTCTCTGCGGTTTTTTTCTTACACAATGTGTAGTTTGTGAAGTGTTCCGACTGGACTACTTTAAGTGCCATTCTGATCCCGTCAACGCAGCGTTTCAGATCGAGTGGATGACTGAAGTAGTTGAAGGTAATAGAAGGATTTTCATTCACGTTGGTGTTGATCAACTTGAGCTCGCCTACTGACCAAGCACTGCCGACTTTTGACAAGACAAAACCTCCCTTGAATGCTTCGACTGGTATGTCTCGCTTGTTCTTCACGTAAGCTTGAATAGCTTCTATTGATCTTTGCTTCGGAGGAATTGTGGAAAGTTGTCCAATCTGGTTTATCGTTGAAGAAATGAAATATTACTTTACTTCTTGCTAGCTCGAAATCAACCGCACACATTTTCAGTTTTCATTCTTAAGTACGAAAGTCTAATTGTTTTCACTTTATTTCTCGATTTTAAAGATTTGTATAGGAAACATATGAAACAACTACAAATCATTTAAATCGAGAAACAAAGTGAAAATGGAAACATGATTGCATACCTCAGCGGACATGATACCGTGATGACAGTGAATGCTGGTGTTGGACTGACTAAACCCACTGCTAGCCTCGATGTATATACCTTTCTTGGTGATACCTACAGTTTGAATGAGTGACTGATGAAGTGGCCGATTCGAAGGAACATAAAGTGCATTCATCGGATTATCTATCATTCCCTTTCCAACGAAACGGTTGTTAAGAACCACTGAGATGTTCAAGTTTTGGAGATCAGCTTTAGGCCCAATTCCACTTAGCAATAACATTTGAGGAGAACCAATTGCTCCACTAGACAATATCACTTCACTTTGTATATTATTTCCTAACATTGCTTCATGTTGTTTCCCATTTTCATCATTGAAAATAACCCCTACAGCTTTTGGTCTTTTACCTGCAACAATAGCATGTTACTTCAGTCACAAGTTACTTTCAAGGGCCTAATTTGCCATAAATTTCAGATTCGGATTCCCTGCAGTCAGAATTTCTTATCGTCATAGCAAACATCTCCCCTCATGACTTTGACCAATCAAAAACTCGAAATCTCTACTATGCGATCACTGGCTGCAGGAAATTCGTTTCACATAACTTTCAAGTCTATGTATAACTTTTTAACTGTAATATACCTGTTGTATCAAAAACAATCTTTTGGACAGTGGCATGAACCAAAACTGTAAGTTTGTCAGGGTTTCCGGAAGCAAGAAGTTCAGCAGATGTGTGACGACGACCAAATCTGTCGAAAATGGTTCCACCAACTTTTGTTCCATAAATATGATCATAAGTGAAGCCATTGAAAGGAGAGATTCCAGTGTCTATAAGGCTGTCCCTCACTGCTCTTTGAAAAGGCGAAAACTTCGGACGATGAACAATTTGCTTCTCAACCCAAGGGTATGACTCATTTACTAGCTTTGCATCCCACCCTACCTTACTTATAAACCTGCATTTCATATTCCATATAAACTTTCGAATTTAATCCGTATGCATTGCAGAATATGAATTTCAGTATTAATCAATTATAATCGTTAGATTATTTAACATATTTGACTAATTAAATCTATCTTAAAACTCATACATACAATTAGTTGGTTGTAAGAAAAGAAGGTTGATCAGTGTTCTGGCGTGTAAGATGGGCTGGGCTATAGCTAGGGGTGGCAAAATAGATCTTGCCTGCCGGTCATGTCCATTTTACTTGCAATATTTTATGGACTTGGCCAAGATTTTAGACCCACACCCTATACTTTATTCGCCCTGCCCCGTTTTTTGGTGGACTCTTGAGGGTGCGGGCATTAATAGGGCGGACATGGATTCTCGGCCACATTTAGGCCTCCGAAGTGCATGGCCCACCGTCCCATTTTTTGATGCGAAGAGTCAAGGTTTCTGATCTGTCCCTTCTCTTTTTTATGAGGACTTTTGAATGGCAAGTCTAAATTGGATGGACATTGCCCATTTGCCATCCATAACTATAACATAGGTCTAAAATTTTGCTATGATTAAATCGTGGTTACATAAAGTCTCATTACACATTTTTCACAGATAAATAGACTTCCAAAATTTTGCCATGGTTCTAAGTTGAGTACCACGGAACTTCAAAAGTTTAAGATATACCAGGAGAAACTAATTAATAGTACTAGTAAAATGAATTGCATAAAGAAAATTTTACCAATTAATAATGAATTTAATGTAAAGTTTGTAGTTGGAAAACTGTTGCATTTTATTTTACCAAAGGTTGGGACCGACCATACAATATAAAATGCTTTCTATGAACTAAACTTCAACATGTGTTAGTTGTAACCTCTAATTAATACTAATTAACCACTTTTAAAAATGCTATAGAAAAAGGCATAAAATAAATAAATAATTAGCATATGTAACCCACTTATATAACCTAACTCTCTAAATTAAATGCAACATAACAGCTCCAGGAGGCATGTCCTAATTTGGACCCTAATATGTAAATGGCACCCTTAATGAGATTCACCAAAATTGAAGTTTCTTTTTCTTATGACAATGAATGTATTTTCTTCAGATCTATCTTCCTACCTAATCACTTTAAAGGACCACAACTAGAATTTAATTCAATTTGACAAGTCTTTCATATAAGAAAAATGCAAACACAAATGTCACCAATATGAAAGGGAGGGTCAATATTTACTATTTTAGCCTAAACTAATAAATTTTCTAATCTACGGATCTCACCTCTATTTTAACCTAACTACTTCTTAATTAATTAGTATTATTTTATATCACAAATATATATTTTTAAGTAATCTAATGGTTCGAATTTCACTTCTTATAAACGAATAAGTGAGATAAACATTACTATACGCAACTTTTTCTTCATGATTAAAATAAACATGTCAGATAAAAAATTTCAACTCAAATTTTTTCTTCATTCAAATACAAATTAGTTCGATCTAGTTAAACCTGCTGAATTAATAATTATGCAGAGATATCAAATATATCGGTGCACTTCAAATTATATTTTATCTTAACAAAGATTTGAAAAATCCAACTAGTATGAAGAATTGAATTTACCTTGGGCTAGCTCTAGTATAGAAACCGGCATTAATAGAAGTGCCACCACCTAAAACTCTTCCTCTTGCATTAAAAACTCCATCAGTTGAAACAAAGTATTGTGAAGCTGAATTTGATGAAAGATCTGCCAAAGTAATGTGAAAATTCTCAAGAAATGTTACATTTGGATTAGTGAATGGTACACCACCTCTTTCAAGTAATAACACACTGAAATTTTGTGAAAGTGTTGCTGCTAAAGGACACCCTGCACCTCCACCTCCAACTATTATATAATCATAAGCTTTGTTCAATGATGTATCTGAAATTGATGGTGATGAAAATGAACTCGCTTTTTTTATATAAGGGTGATCTTCTTTACCTGCAAACCAAAATGAAAAATCCAATTTTAGTCTCAGAAAAAATCACATGCAAAATAAGAATTTAGCCTATAGTGTAAGAAAAGTGTTATGTAGTGATTGATGAGAAAGAAATGAACCTTGAGAGAGAGGTAGAAAGTTGCAGTTCCAGAACAATAGAACAAAGAACAGTGAGAATTTAACTGTATCAATTGAAGCCATAGGAATCTCACAGGCTTTTACAAAAAAGTATTCACTCAATCACTCAAGAATTTGTTTCTTCCAAACCTATAAGTGTCTTCCTCTGGTTGGTCTTGTTTTCTGTGTACATCATATAAATACTCTTAAAATATGAGACCTAACTACTATAATTAATTAGGATATAACATGATTAATTAATATTAGTATGAAAAATTAGGATAGTGACATATAACTTAACTAAGTTTATAGTCGGCTTTAATACTCTATAAAAGATAGACTATATTATACAATTCAAATTTTCTCAAAGTTAAATTGTATTTAGTTGTTAAGTCTCATAATAGATTTTATACGGTAAAATTATATTTACATAAAACTCTAATTTATTTTGGCACAATTGAACCATGTTCGGCTTATATAAAACTTTCAAAAACTTAAACCTAAGAAGTTTATTCTGCTAAGTACTTTATTCATTTTTTTTATAACTAATCTAAGTATTATACTCATAGATCGCAAGAGCACTTAAATGAAATAATAAGTATCTCTTTAATATTAATGAGAGAATTTGAATTCAAATTTAATTTTAGAAACGCATGATTTATAAGTTTTTTAAAGAAAAGCTTTGTTGTTTAGTGTAGTTCTCGCTATTTAAAAAGTTAGTCTCTATAGTCACCTCAGACTTGATTTATTGATAAAAATTTGAAATTTGAGAGCATATTTCTTTCAAGATCTTATGTTCAAAATTTACTTAACTGTTATTTCCTCCGTTCTCATTTATAAAAAAAAATTAATTTTTTATATACATTGAATAATAAGTAATGTATTTGGACAATATATTGTCCAAATACATTACTTATTTAATGTATCTAAAAAACTAATTTTTTCTTATAAATGAAACCGGAGGGAGTAACAATTTTTGTATTTGATCAGTTTAGATAGAAAATAACTTTAATCTCGTCATTCATTAACATAAATCTATTTAAAGACAAAATAAAGCTCTGGCTTTAAATAAACTCCTACTAATAAATAATGAAATTAATCTCTTTAAATTAATCGGTCCCAGATTAGAAAATAAATTAGAAAAATCTTATTCGTATTATAAAAAACATTGTATTCATAAAAACACTTGTAAACTATAAGTGAATAAAGCATTTAATGATGAAATGAATGTTGCGGTTAGAGTGAAGTATCTTCAACCGTTCGATTTGACAGTGTATTTTCTGATGAATTTTATACAAAGACAGCTAACACTCACTAGGCTATACAATGTGTAATAGTAAAGTTGTATAATTAATATGCAACCAAAACTATACAAAATTCTTTTATTATTTTTCTCTTTATTATGGTTGTTGTTGTTAGAGAGAGCATTGTCTAGACATTGAATAATTAATGGTATAGCTAGAAAAAGTAAATTATCTCCTTTTGCTTTTTTCTCTTTGTGAATTGATATCGGCAATACAAATTTATGTTGGTAATAATGTTCACTACTAAAGATATTCTACACTTAGAATAGGTTTTTTTATCATGGAAATTGATGTATATAGCTATGCTTATGAATTTACTGTCTAGTTTAATTAGGAAGTTAGTTTTGGTGTCAAATGACCAATGCCAATGTTGATCGAGTAGTATTTTGTAACTGATTATGCAAAACGTGCATTCTTTTGTATAGGATGGGTTTACAAAGCCACAATTTTAAAATGAAGTTTCTTATGAATAATTTCAATATCTCATATTGATTTGTTTGAAGATGATCATGCATTTTATCGTCATACTCGATCATGAAACTCAGATATTACTCATGTTTATATCGGAGAGAAAAATCTAGTTTAGATCACTAATGTTTCTCATCATAATTTATGGAATAGTCATCAATCATCTTTATAGTTATCCTATTACTGACAATTTTTGAAAGACAATAAAGTAATCAACTTCACATTTAGGATCCATAGTAGTTTCAGATCGAAGGGTGACATACATCATTATCACTGTTGTATTCCAAAATTTGCCCTCTCATGTCTCGAGGACTCTTGGAATTACTTAAGTCATGTTTCAAGCCTTAGACCATATTTTCTAAGAAGAATCATTCAAATTATCAAAAGGGGCAAAATGAGCAAAATCGGAGTTTCAGTTGGAAAAAGTCAACCGGACGCCAAAAAGCCAAACTTTGATTTTTGACCAAATTTGGGTCTCAAAAAATCATATTATGTCAAGACATCCAAAAATGAAATTTGATCATCAAAAATCAAGAGAATCAAAAATCCAACTTTGCAAAACTTTGAAAATTTTTCTAAGTATTTTATATACTTGGTTAATTTCATTTGCTTCATGACACTTTTTGCTACAATTCCAAATAATTCAAAATGATGCAAGTAATTCAAGTTATTACAAAGTGGCATTTTTGCAAGATTATAAATTCTAAAACTATATCTTGATTGAGTTCTCTCAAAGAAACCTTGCCACATTATTTTTCCCTTTACATAATGTACATGAAATATTCCACAAGACCAAATTTGTGTCATGCTACAAATCATATTGTCCAAGTTGAACAAAATGTGATATGCCACATTGCCACAACACCCCATGCTGCCCTGCAATAAAGCTTGTGCTATGCTGCACCCCAAGTATACATGCTGCCCAATATAGTCCAAAACTGCTCTATGCAGTCTGGCCAAGCCTGCATCACAACAGCCCCAAAATTGCACCAAAATGGCAAAGGAAAAATTGTGGGAAGAAAGTGTCAAAGTAGTAGGCAAAAACAATTCAAAATGACTTATTTGTTTTCCCCCCTAAACCACAGTCAAGGGGTCTACAAAAAGAGGACTGTCTCATAAGACAGGGGGGGGGGGGTTGAAGTAAAAAAAATTTAGAGAGAGGGAATAAAGAGTTTTGTTGAGCAGAAAAATAATATTTTGTGCAACCTTGATTCATTTTCAAAACCAAGTCAATTCTTGTTCAAAACAGAAAACCCAATCCATTACTCCACCATACAAACTCTCCTTTAAACCAAATAACTCATCACATACAAAGATGGTCCAAAATATCACAAAAAACAGTCCATGTAGTGCTATCATCTTCACATTCAAAACACCAAAAACATCACAGTACAATCTAACTCAATTTCAACAGTCCGGAGCAGCTTTTTGGAGATTCATTGAGGTCCTCATAACATTTGGAAAAAGCATTCAGATTTAAAACAACCAGTGCAGCTCAGGGGTAAGTCTCCTTGACTTGATATCTCTCCATACATCATTAAAGGATTTGTTTATTTTAAAGACAAGATGTAGTACTTTAATATCTTTTTTTGAACTAGTCATTTGCACCTTGTTTAGGCTTATTCAATCATGTATTGTTCATATTTATCCATCATATGCCATAAACTAACTTGTACAATCAGTAAAATAATGTTTAAAGGCAGGAAAATACAGCATGTATCGACATATATCATCATGTATCGACCCATCCTAGTGAAAAAATAGGGTATGAGTCGACACATAACCCTCATGCATCGACCCATACTGAGTACAGGTCACAAAGCAGAAGCTAGAAGGACTTATGAGTACATACGTGTTTCGCATCGATACAAGAAGGTGTATGAGTCAATACATCCCATTATGTGTCGACTCATACTGAATAGATTTCGTTTTACAGGAGCAAGGAAAAGCTATGTGTCGATGCATAGCAGCATGGGTCGACACGTAGCAGTTCAAAATGCATTTTTCCCTTTATTTCACACTGTTTTCACATTGTTTTCATTATCATTCGATATGGTTGTAATATTTTAGTTTCTACTTCATTTCCATTGTTAATTTGTACCCCCACCCCCCTAAAAAGATGTAATAGTTTAGATTTTGTTTTTACTTGCTTTTCATATCTTGTTAGTAAATAGGGTGTATGACAAGATAAAATCAACAAATAGACGACTTTCAAATACAAGATAAAATGTATGCAAACTAACACACTTGCACACTAACACCTCTAGGGTAATCTCATTTTCGTGGCCTTTCGGAAAATAGTCATGTCCCTCGAACATGGGACGTTTTAGCAAAGACCCTTCGATGAAAAAGGATCGTAGTCCCTTGATGACCCTCGATGTTGCCTTCAGTAAAACGATCTAGTCCCTAAACGACATTGCTAAGACGTTCCATGAGTTGCCTTCTATGAATATACAAACGTCCCTACACCCGTCCCTTCACATCCAACGATGAGGCTTCTTACCAAATCAATGGTAAGATAGCCATATCTAAAGGAGAAGGAAAAACACGTTTAAGACCTTTCGAGTAGGTAGATTCGCTCCTAGTTACTCGCTTGCTCACGACAAAAACATTTTTACACATCCACACTTCCATTTCTAAAACATTTTCAAAAAAAGATAAAACATTTTGTATACGTTCTTATAGAGACGAGAACCATTGTAAAATATCTTTCCGAAAACCACTTTCCAAAACACAATCCACAAACACGCCTTTGAACTATCTTTCGAAACAAAACTTTGTACGCGTTCTTATAGAGACGAGAACCATTACAAATACATTTTCAAAACACTTTCAAAGCCCACATCATAAATCACATTTAAACGAAAGCAAGTTGATCTAACGAGTAACTAAGAGCCCATGAAAAACCATGGATGAAAAGGGTGCAAATACCTTCCCTTTTCATAATCTACCCCTTGAACTCAAGAAAACATATCTAAAGGTCTTTCCTGTGCTTTTTCACCTTTCCTTTTGGATAAAAGAAAAGTCGGTGGCGACTCTTGCTAAATCGCAACATTTGCGAACACAAACGCAAAACCTCTCAAGTCAGTTCTCCCACCGTATCACAATCATTATAAGAATAACTTATCACACTTACATAACACCATATGTAGTATTTTCATATTTGCTCAATACAAGATAATAGTACTACATTTATACCTATGTGGATGTTATCTCCTATCTATTATCCGTGAGATATGATCATCAGTCTACTCACAAAATTGTATTTATGCATTATTGTTATGCAACGTGACAGTAAATCTTGACTCTGAG